CCTGCTGAGTTTACATGCTCCCTGCTGAATGAGGCCAGCCTGCACGGGGACACAAAGACTGTAGGTCCCCACATGGGGGTGGAGACCTTGGATGTCCTGGCAGGAGAACTCCAGCTTTGCCATCTCCAGCCTCTTAACTGTCAAACACAGGTCCGACCCAGATTCTAGAGACTTACCTGGCACTGCCATCAGCGACCAGAATGTTGCCTGGGCGCCTGGCGCTGGACACACATGTACACGCACGCATGCACGCTGACACGCACAGGCTGTCCTGACATCTGTTTAGAGGGGTGCAGGCTGTGTCCCCTCTTCAAGGACAAGTCTGGGGTGAACAGAAGCTGCGGCTGAATTGCGTGCACACTCCTGCAGGGTGTGACACCGCGTGAGCTCCGCCCCTCCCCCCCAGGAAGCACAGGTAATTTGCAGGAACCAGCTGGAACATATCATAATAAAATACCTCATTTAAAGTATTTCTTTTTTTATTGATTTCATTGAAAACAGAACAAGAAATGGTCTGAGCCAAAAGACTGCTCTTAAAACTGTCAAAAACATTTTAACAGAAAAAATAAACATGACTGCATTATGAATGTTTTAGAAGAGTCGCAAAAAAACCCCACTGTTACTGCACTAGTTACAGTATTTAAAAAGTATATGCCAAAAAAGGGTGTGACCTGGCGGGCCGCCACACAGAAGGTGACGGCAAATTTATTCACACTACAAGACTAACATTTTAAAAAAGTTTTTTCCTGCATTTTATTCTAAAATCACTTTGTTCTCTTTATACAGTTGATAGTTTATTTTCACATGGTGAGTAGAAACCACACCAGAATCAGCACCGTTGTCTGTGTTTTGTGTTTTTATTTTTTGTCCTAATGTTCAATAATGGTAGAAAATAAATCAGTTTATTCATCATCATAGCATGTGGCTTAAGAGTCAACGCAAGGGACCGTCGTCAGCGCACCGGCCGGGCCTCCTGCCCCCGAGCCGCTTGAGACGCAGCGCGCGGGCCGGGGCCGCATCCCTTCCAGGTCCGCGGCGGCGGCGGGGACGGTGTCTGCGCGGTGCCAGGAACTGCGCGCGGGCGAGTCTAACGGAGCAGCTTGCGGGTGACGGTGGCTTTGGCGGCGCCACACGGAGGAGTCGATGCCGACAGGACGTGCCCCACGGCCCGGTGGTGGAACGGTAACCACGGGGAGCGGAGGGGAAACGAGAAACGTGGGAACGACAAAACCACCAGCAGGAGCTCACACGGTGACGCATGACTTTAAGTTAACCAAATGGGAGAGTAATTTGGGAAGCCTGACCTAATCAATTGAGTTCTTTAAAAGGAAGTCTAGAGGTCGGAGACATTATCCTGTTGCCCTTAAAGAAACAAACTGCTATGTTGTGTAGAGGGTTACATAGCAGGAAATGGTGAACAGCTTCTAGATGCCGAAGGCCTCTGTCCTATAATCACAAAGACCTGACTTCTGTCAA